GCTTTTCCCACAAGAATTTCATTCTACGATTGTCTTTATTTATTTACCCAAAGAACACGCCTGTTTTCTTTGTGAAAATAGTTCTTTCGATTCGACTAAACATTGATTGAAATTCTAGGAAAAGCAAACTAAGAATCATTAAGGCATGAATGGGGGGCAGGAATCACTTTGGTTTGGTTTTGTAGCTGACAGCTGGAGCATTCAATTTGTTTATTTTGCAGTTATTTATAGACATATCTGAGGGTTTATTTGATTTCTTATTTAACATTTGAATGGATTCTAATGGTTTCCTAATTGGTTACTAAAATAGATACAAAAGATAGATGTGCGGGAAGGAAGAACAAGTTTCCTCCTAATTGTCGAATGACTTTCCTTAATGAAGGCAACTCGCTAACATCGCTTATTTATTGATTAGTTCCGATTAATGTAAATATATCCATGTGCATAACATTTAAGGAAGTTCCATTACTGCGTGAAATTAAAGTATAAAAACACATGTATTTTTAACCCAAGGAAAACTTAAATATATCCCTTAAATTTCGCACAATTTTCAGCACAAACACTTTCCCTCGGCAGTCCATTGCATAATGCAATAAATGTAATATTTGCCACTCTGCTGCTTGTTGCTTTTTCCTCGCTGCCACACACACCACAGACTCAATTCCCACAGCCCCCGTTTTTCCTCCGTTTTCCTCATTTTTCCTATGTATTGTATAATAATAACATAAAATAATTTATGGCAAATGAAAGTCACAAAAATGCAAGAAAAGCAACGAAGGAACCAACCGAAAAATTTTGGTTTCATGCTCCATTCACCGCAAGAGGCCCCGCACCGCCCCCGCCCTCTGCCACATAATGCTGCACACCCTCCTCCTGCTACCCTCTGCTACCACTTCCCCTTTCTCACTCTCTGGCGAGTAAAAACCCTTTCTGCCCGACAAGTCTTTAGAATTTTTCGTGGTATATTTTTAGGTGATCCCCCAAAAGCCAAGCGCCTGGCCACGACATGTAAACTTTCATTCTCAATGGGAGGGCGGCTCTGCACGGAGGGGGAGGGTGGCATGTGGCATGTAGCAAGGCTTTTGTGACCTGTCGTCTGGCTTTCGCTCGCTTGCTCCTCCGCTCGCTTTCTCCTCCGCTCACTCTCTCCTCCGCTCTCTTCCGCTACAACGTTTTCTTCTGTCATTTTTTTTTGGTGGTGGAGATGGGGTAAAGGAATTTTAGTCAAGCTTTTGTTTTAAAGGCTTTTGTGGCAGAATGCTTTGAATTTTCCTCCTCCTCCTCCTGCCCTGCAATTTCATGTTTTTTTTGGGCGAAAATTGCGCGGCAAATTCAGGAAAATTCTATGCACAAAAGAATCACAAAATGCAGCAGCAGTAGCAGCCATCGCGCATCGCATCCTCAAAGACATGTAAAATTTTGTATCCTTTTGAAAATCTCAAGAATTCATTTCCCTCTTCTGCTTCTGCTTTTGCCTCTGCTCTGTTCTGCTCTGCTGCTGCTGCTGCTGCACAAAGACAAATAAATCCTAGATTTAGTGTTTGCATTCTTTGGATTTTCCCAGTGACAGCAAAAGTTTCCACCCTCCTTCCACCACTCTCTCAGATTCCCTAGCCCTTTCGTTCACTCTTAATTAATTAAAGCCGCCACGGAAATGTGGCAGTGCCTCCCTCTCCCACTGCTACTGCTGCTGCTGCTGCTGCTCACCTGTCAAGCTACTTGTCAATTCATCGTTTCATCGTAATTAGAAATTCTATAGAAAAGTTTTGGGGTGTGAGGGGCGGTGGGTTTGTCACTCAAGAAACGCCACGAAACTCAAACAATTTGATTGCCCAAAAAAGTATTTTTTACAAAGCCTAATTTGTGGTTAGCCAAGTGGCAGCCAACAGGCAGTAGCAGCCAGAATGAGGCGGAAAGTGACAGCAGCAGAACACCGGAAGGGCTGGTGAAATTTTATAGTTTTCAATCTCATTTTTAGGGGTTGGCTGTGGGCAGGGAAATTTGTTCAAAGGATGAAAGGGTTTATGCGTATTTTAGAAGCAGCATAAAGACAAAATAAAATACCAAGGAAATGCAAAACTCAATGTAGTGCCCATAGTAATGCTGTCCGCTGAGGGAAAATATTCACTTAAATGCCAAAAATAAAAAAACATTTTCTGAACAATCATTGAACATCCCCTAATCATAGCTTAAATGTCTTTTAGCAGCTCCAATATTTATTTAAGTTAATATATGTACACAAACCCTCAAAACGATAAACCAAAATGACATCTAAAATGCTCTCCTGATGTTTGTTTTCCCAGGGAAAAAGTGGAAAAAAAGGATGAAAAAATAGACAAGAAAAGTGAAGCGAAAAACCCACAGAAAACCCCGAAGAAAAGTGCCACAGCAAAGCGCCACAAATCAAAAGCCAAGTCAACCTGCGCACTGGAGTTGATTGAAAAGTTTATGCACTCCGAACTAAATTCGCACTTTGTCTAGCCGGTAGTCGCTCGCCCTGTCTCTCTCTCTCTCTCTCTCTGTCTCTATCTCTTTGCCCCTACTAAGCTCCCATTCTGTTTGGGTAACCTTTTGGTTTAAGCTCCTCCAAAAAAGAGCCTCTCAGGTGTTTTGGTAGCTCCCGAAGAGCTATTTGACAAAACTGCCAGCCGAAAAGCTGAGGCTATTTATTATGCCCACAGGATGTAAACGCACACACACACACACACACACACACACACATACAGATACAAGGTGGAAACTGCGTAAATCATTTCCACTTTATGCGTCGCTCGCTCGCTCTCTCCCACTCTCTCTCTCTCTCTATCATCGTTCTCTCTAAGCCAGAGACAGTGTCAACAAACTGCAAAAGACACAGCCAAAAAGAGGAAGCGTAAAGTTGGGGGATAAGGAACTTAGGCCAAGAGCAGCGGCGGACAAGAGCATTAAAAAAACTGCAGACAAAAGGGGCAAAGAGAGAGAGGGAGAGAGAGAGAGAGATAGCAGTGTGTGTGTGTGTGTGTGTGTGTGTTTGTTCCAATCTTTTGGCAGTCAAAAAGTTTTGCCGTTTAGAAAAGTGTCAAGCATTTTATCACACGAAACGGAAACTGGCCAAAAACAACAGCAGCAAAAATAAAAACAAAAACAGCAGTCCAAAACATGGCCATAATAAATCTTTAAGGAGTTGGCAGTCGCTTCTCTCCCCTGCCCCACTGTGAACCCTGTTTACCCGCTTTAAAATGCTGCCCCGAAAATCCACATCAAAAATTCTACTGCCAGCAGAAAATCCTTCCACCCCTTCCATTTTCTAATACATTGCATCCACTAAGCAGGTGCCTAAAAATAGAAATACACCTGACAGATGACGAAACTACTTCTGTCTCTTTTTCTCTTTCTGTGTGTGTGTGGCATTCTACCTGTCTCTCTTTGCCACTGAACAAAAAACAGAAACTTGTCAACGTGTTGACTGCTGCTGCAGTTATCCAGAAAATACTCCAGGGACAGGACAGTGGACAGGACAGCGGACAGGACAGCGGACGTAAGGCGGTCGTAAGTGGCAGCCACTGTAAGGTACAGTCATCGCACACATTTTTCTCTCTCTCTCTGTGTGTGTGTGTATTTGTGTGGCAGTTGCAAACTTTTGTGGCTGTTGCAAAAACCGATTTGACCGACAGCTAAACCTTCTCCTTCAGGCCGCGCGCACAACGACCCAAAATGTTGTAAAAACCCCCCAAAAGTCAAGCAGCGAAGAGCGGCGCTGTCGTCCAGTTTTTCCACGGAAAACGTGGCCAAAGAAAAGGTGCAAAGATTAACCCTTTCGGGGGATCCATCATCAACAACAAGTCGAGCATTAAATTTTGGTGGGTTTTTTTTTTTTTGTTTTGGTTTTGGTTGGGTTTAGTTTGAAATTGATTTTCGGTTTATTTTTTTCAGTGTTTTGTCGGGTAGAAAGTCTTTGAAATTTATTGCAGTTTCTGGTTTAAGTTGCTAGTTTGACAGTCAATTTTCAGGAGTTTTTATCACCAGTGGAGAGAGTATTACTTGCAGACTTAGTCAATGGAAAAGTAACCTTTGCACTACATGGGAATTTACAAGCTTTAACTTAAGCTTTGAATGTTTATCGTTTTCTGCATGGGGAAAATATATTTTATTAAGAGTTAAGGAAAATTCCCAGTTGCATTGAGCCACTTCCTTTATTTTCATTTAGAATAAAAAATTCCTATAAAAATACCCAAAATTCCTAGAAATTTATTTTTCCTACAACTTCAATATTTCTTTTATGCAATCCTTAACATATTATTTCGCATATAATACAATATATGTTTAATCCACAAACATGCATCAGATATCTCTGCATTCGTTATAGTTCTTTCCGTATCATAAAAACTATCAAAATATCACCTCAAACAAGAAGCAATAAGATTAGGATCAGGATTAGAGTTGGTGCCATTGCACTTGAACAAAAGTGGACGATTACGTGAGTTGCTCTGGCCGAAAAACCCCAACTTTCCTTCCGCCGTTCCGCCCTAAACCTGTTCCTGCTATAAACCCTGAATCCTATCCTGTGTTCTGCTCTTAAAATTCCACAAGCATTTGCTTTGGTGCTAATGGAACAGTTTAGAGGAGCAGCCAAGCAGGCAGGCAGACGCCACGCCACGCCACGCCCCAGAAGCAGGGCGGAGGGAGAGCACTGCCCTCGAGGTTTACAGCAGAAAGCGGGAATGAAATCATAAATGCCAGGACACGTGCCACGACAACAACGTGCCTTGGAACGTTGCAACGAGGTGTTAAGGTTTTTTTTTTCTTCTTTCATTTTTTTTTTTTGGCAACCTCTTGGACTGCAGTCACTGCCCGCGAGTGGCAGTGGCAGTGTGGCACCAGTGGCAGCAGTGGAAACTCTCTTCGCATTCGCATTCAGAATGCAAGTTAGTTAAATATTTAAATTTATTTATTGGACTTTGGACGCCAGAGAGCAGCCATTTAAAATAATCAAAAAAAGGACAAGCGTAAAAAGGACTTACCGTGTGCATCTTTGCCTGTAGATCCGCCATTGTTGGATCCTCCGCCAGAGCCAGGACCCAGGACACCACTGGACATGCCACCGCCTCCTCCACCGCCGCCGCCGCCGGATGTGGAATGCAGGCGCGCTAATGTGACTGGCATTAGCGGCAGTGCCAGTGCCATTCCACAGAGCAGGGCCATAAAAATTTTCCACATTGTTAACGTGGCCATTTGACTTTTATTGCACTTCATTTTCCACGGCTTTGCCTTGCTGCTGCTGCTGCTGCTGCTCCTTTTCCTACTGCTTCTGCTGCTCCTTTTTCTTAGATTTTTCTATAATTTTTCTTTGCTTTTTCTTTCGGGGGGTTTTGGCCGCTCCACTCCGTTCCGCCGCTTGTTGATTTTAATTTGATGTGAACTTAAGTTGGATTTGGTTTGCAGATTTTGCCGCTGCACTTTTCCTCGCGCTTTCCCCAACCGTTCTAATGGAAGCACATTTTCGATTTTCTTTTCGGGCAGCAGCTGCAACGAAACAGAGAGAGAGAAAGAAATGTAGTAGTGGGTTGGGGTTGGGAGTCAGTAGGGGGGGTGGGGTGTGGAAAATCCATTGGGTTTGAGTATTGAAAAGTTTTTTGTAGTTTCAGAGGCTAGTTAAAAAGTTCAACAACTTTTTTCTTTTGCGCTTTTTTTCATTTTCTTTTTTCTCGATTTTCTCGTTTTCTTTTTAGTTTCTTTTTTCTGTGTTAAAGTCAAGTTGAAGCCGCAATTATCGAGTTGTAAGGCGACACGCCCCCTTAAGACCACACACACACACACACACATAAATACACTCTCCCAGCGCACAGATACACTCTCCAACACACAGCTGTTTGGTTTCACAGGCTGTTTGGAGGGCGCCCCCCCCAACTTAATTTTGTTTGAAAAAGTTTCTTCAAACAAAAAGAAAAGAAAAAGAAATGAGAGCACAAGTTTTGTCACCTTGCTTGGAAAAGTAGGAAAATGGGCCACAATGAATCGGGGGGGAATCGGCGTATTCCAAGGTGATTGAACAGCATTAGGCATTAGGCATTGGACTTTAAAGGGTATAATTATTGGAGGTGAGAACTTGTGGAAGAACCATGTGCATGGATACGAGTTCTGCTGGAAGAATATTAAATTGAATTTAAGTTGTCCTTATAATTGGATTTTTGATATTTGACCTTTCGAAACAAAGCACCAGCGTAGAAATCTCGACGTACACGCTTAATTTCATTGGACGTAGGCGGCTACCAAGGCTGATCCCAAACTGCGTGCAAGAAGCAAATGCAAAACACTCTGCAGCGTTTAAGCAAACGCTTAAAAGTTGACATCATGCGAGCGTAGTGAGTGCGTGCATTGTGCGTGCGTAAAGCGAGAGATCAGAGTTACTCTCTCTGGACTCGCCTCGCCACGCTATCGCTTGATCTTTGCTTGCGTACAGAGTACGCAGAGGTACGCAGAGTACGCAGCCAGAGTAGTAGGCGCGAGAGAAGCGCAACGAAACCGTGAGTCAAAAGGCGCTCAATTCCCAAAAGAGCGACTCGTGCTTAAGCTCTTAAGGGCAGAATGAGATAGCAAGATAGCAAGAGCTTGTGACTGCAGGGCAGGTACTGCCATTCCTTGCGGGATTTCTGTGCATGTTTATTCCTGTTTGGTTTTCTGGATGTTTGCTTTGCACTTTGATTCATTTTTTTTCCTTTCCGATCATTTATTTAATGAAATTTAATGTTTGTTAATTAAGAAACAAAAATTTTTTTAAATAATGTGACAAAAGTTTCTTTTTTTATAAAATCCCATTTATAATTAAATATTCCATAAATATTGTGTCACTTTCTAAAATCAATAGATAAATATTATTCCCTGTTTGTCTTCTTTATTAATGATATTTCATTCTTTAGTAAATATTTCTTTTTTATAATCAACAAAATTCGTACAAATTTCCAGCCATTTCCTTTTTGCGCTTTTGCATGCCAAAAAGATAAAGAAACAAGCAACAACAAAACAAAGAAGATTTACAATTTCCGTTCATCGCACAGGCCCTACCTGTCCTTCCCTTAACCCATCGCCCCCCAAAAAAAACGCATCCCTTTGATTGCCTGCCATCGATAAAAATTCGCCCATAAGCAATATTCCACTGCCACAAAAGAACGGAGGGGAAATATCGCTTGCGTTTTCCAGCAGAAAAAATAAAACAAAATAGCTTTCGTATAAAAATAAAGGTAAAGAAAATTGACATCCACAAAAATACAAAACACCAACAGAAGACAACAAAATACAACACATCTCATGTATCTTTTTCTATAGAAATAATAATGATTTGCAAATATATAAAAAAAAAAAACCAAGAGAGAAAAAGAAAAAGGAAATGAAAATGGAGAAAACTTAAAGGTGGGAAAACAGCAAGAAGATATGAGCTGACAAAAGGTAGGAAAAAGGAAAAGGTAGCCGCCAATAAACGGGACACAAAAGGTGGGACCAAGCGCGCGCGAGAGATACAAAGATACAAGATACAAAGAGACAGATGGCAACCCTGGCATTTTTTGGGGGGGGTGGAGGTGTGGAGAATAGGCGAAAAAGGCAAATCAATAGGCGGCGTTTTTATTCAACTTTTTGTTTTCCACTACTCCTCCTCCTCCTTCTCTATCCCGCATCTTCCTACGTTTTGCTCTGTTTCCTCCAGCTCCACATCCTTCTTCGTCCTTATCCTCTCCATGTCCCATTGTCATTTTGTCAACGTGTCCGTCGAGTGTCGTCAAAATTTTTGTCAGTGGGAATGGGGGACCTTGAGAAGAGGAGACCATCCCAAGCCATCCCCAGGTCCTTAATAATGATAAGAATGTAGGACAGGACAGTGGCAATAAGCGACCAAAAAATATGGCCAAAAGATAAGCAAGAGAGTGGCGGGGAGGGGGGTTGCAGCGGCAGAAAAGGTGACAATGTGAGAAGCAATAATAATAATAATAATGATGATGATAAAAGAACAGCCCAGCAGCCCCTATCCAGCAACCGCATCCCCATCCCTTAAGCGATGATAAAACTAATGACGCGACTGGGCAATTATTACAAAATTTGTTTTTATTCCAAAAAAAATAAAATATAGAGGGAGGAGAGCTACGATAAATATACTAAAAGTGCAGAGTGTGAGAGAAAGAGGGGAGGGGTCAGTGGGAAAATATAGTATAATTTTTAGTGGAAGGGCCTTAGTTTGAACTACGAGTACACTTGAGCAATTTGCGCACAGTCGAGTGCGCACATTAACCCACACACATGCACAGAAGATAGATGCACACACACACACACACACACTAATGCTACTACAACCTACACGAACCGAAAAACAAATAACAAAAGAGGCAAAAGGCAAAATCAACATGGCGTACAGTGAGCGGAAACGGAAACGTCGGCCAGGCCGAGGAGCAACAGAATCAACCGACCAATAGACAAACATCGAGGGGGGGGCGGGGAGGAAGAGCGCTATGCCAAAGAGAGGGGGGGGGCTGGAATAGATGGACAATGTGTGTGTGGGGGGGGGGTGCTGGTGCTGGTGCTGCTGGAAAACCAAAGTAAAATGAAATAAAACAAAACATCATTGAGAGCAAAAATATAACTAAACGAACAGCAGCAAAAACGAATAAATAATGCTCTCTCTCTTGCAAAGAATAATAGAAGTTAAAGAAAGTGATCTAAATCTGATATTGAGAACATTCCATGATCTTCAGAAATATTGTATTCAAATGGATTTCACTTTGGGACACACTTTAGAAGCAATTAAGAATCAAATCACCATTCTAAGCCATACGAATGAACTGGATATATAGCCTTGGGGATACTCAGAAACTTGTTTGGTAGCTTTGAATCTGAAGCTATCCCTTTTTGCCATAGCTATCATACCCCTAACAAAATTAGAGAGCAAACAAAATACACGTAACACTGGACTTGGAAGCAGAAATGAAACGAAACATTTGATAGACACATTTTATTGCATGCAGTGGCTCGTCAGTGGCCTGTCGCTGTCGCTCTCTCCGTTGCTGTTTTCAGTGACTGCCTCACTGACTGACAGACAGACAGTGGAAGAAGGGACAGAGGAAGGACTGTAGTGGTACTGAAAGAGTAAAGTGCCTGGGGCAAGGTTCCACTCTGCAACAAAACACCCCTAACCCCCCCCCCTACATACACACAAGCAATCTAGACAATAGTTGTGGCATTCCTGCTGCAACAACTGCTGGGGCCTGCCCCTGCTGTCAATGGCTGCCTAGCCGTTTCCTGACCCTCAATTGCCCCCACCGCTTGGTCTTGCTTGCTGTTGCCCCCCCTTCGGTGCCCACTCTTTGTGTCCTGTGTCTGAGGGGGGCGGGGAACTCTCGAACTGGTGGTGGTTGTTGTTTCCGTGTTGGTTTATTGTTCCCCCAAGTCTCATTCTTTTCTATTTGGTCTAAATAAATTTTTATCATGTGCAAAAAAAAAAAAAAAAAAAAAAAGGCAAAGAGGCAACAGAAAAATCTCTTAGTCCGAGCGGCTAGTTAGTCCATCATGCAGTCTGGTACGTCATTCACTCGCTCAGTCATTCATTCATTCACTTCTTCATTTACTTCCTCTGGCACTTCCCTCTTTTCCACGGAATTTTTCCGTCTGGTTTTTCCTTCTGTTTGTTATTTTCTTGTTTCTTTCTGTGGCTATTGAAGCAATCATTCGGAACATGCACCACCAGAGCGCTTTTCCCTTGGTTTAATATGCCAGAAAATTTAAGCAAAATTACTGTTCATAATATGACATTAATGGTGGCGCAAACAATCCCCAATATATGTACATGCCCTCGCTCTCCCTCTCCTCTTTCCACTTGGATATCTGATTTTTAGTGTCGTTGAGATTTATGTTTTTCGATATACGCGTAAACAACAGAGGGAAAAACTTCTCTCACGGTTTGACATATGGGCCAACACTTAAGCCGCTGGGCTTTATGCCCAACAATTTATGTATCTGCGACACAGCGACACTGCGACACTCAGAGCGCGAATATCTGGCGAGTATTTTGTATCTCATGGATGCTCGTACTCGTGCTCGTATACATTTATATTTATTGCTTATATGCACTTTGCGGTTAAGAAATTGTTTTCGATGATTAACTTTGATGGCAGGTTCTTGCCACGAATGTTCCCCCCGAATGATTGGCCCTCCAAATATTATAGACTGGCCTCTAATGCTCATGGATTATGGCCACCAGGCAAAACGGTGGCCAATGCTTATCGCTTATGTCACCAGCAGCAGAGGCGGTGGCATAAATATTTCCTATTGATTTTCACTTAAAATGAACCAAACGCGATGTCAAATTTATTAAACTTTTGGTAATTAGAATTCCAACAAAACAAAAACACCCACAAAATAAAAAACAATATAAATTATGGGAATATAAACTATTTATGGATATAAAATTCCACCGAATCAATGTTTTGAATATTCAATTAAAAGCGTACAGATGCAAATATTTTCAATTGGAAAAAAAATTA